TGGTTTTATGGGGCTGTCCACTCCCCGGCTGAACGGTGAACCTCAGAAATGACTTCACCACTGAGCTAAAAGGGTGTCTGGGGGCCATACTCTCAGGGTCTCTCCAGTCTCCCTTAGGCCAGTAAATCTGGTCTTCTTTTTTTTTTGTGAGTTAGAATTTTGCTCTACATCCTTCTCCAGCTCTGTCCAGAACCCTCTATTGTGATCCCGGTCAGAGCAGTCAGTGGTGGAGGACTGCATTTTTAACCAGTGTCCCAGGTGACTCTGACGGGAGTCAGTCTAGACTTTCATAAACCCCAACTTGGGTTCCTGCTATCCCAGGCTAACTGCCCTCGTGTAGCTTCCTTGTGTGTGTGTGTGTGTGTGTGTGTGTGTGTGTGTGTGTGTGCAGACAGGCAGTAAGTACGATGACAGTAAAATGTATCACATGTCAGATGGTTATAAGTACTGTGGCGAACAGAGGAGAGGGAGAAAATATGACGGGGGGCATGGTAGGTAAAGAGCCATTGCAGTGTTTAAGAGGGAGGCCAGGGATAAGCTCAGTGGATAAGCGACAAATGCGCAAAGACCTGAAGGAAGCAAGCCATGGGGACATCTGGGGAACAAATAGTTTGTAGGTGGGGGGCACAGCCAGAGCAAAGCCCCTGAGGTGGGAACATGGCTGCCTTAATACTACTGTTAATACTAGATTAATTACTTAAATTAATTATATACTTAATACTACTATTAATACTAATAATACTAAAGCTGCTCTTCACATTGAGGCCAGAGAGGGCCTTTTGATACACAAATCTGGTCACATCACCCAGTTAGTAACTCTTCTACTGTTCTTAGGATAAAACCCCAAATCCTTGATCTACCTACAAGGCCCAACGGGTTGGCCTAAGCCATCCTCCTCAGCCTCGCCTCACCATCCCTTTTACCTCTTGCCCTGCCCTGCCCTCCAGCCACACTGCCATCTCTCATATTTCTAAACTCCCCATCTGCCACAAGGCCTTTGCTTCAGCTGTGCCCCTTCCTGGCACCCACATCCACACGCGGCCCTCAGATCAGTTGTTGCTCCCACAGAAGCCTTCTCTGGCCTCCTGATAGGTCAACTCCCCATTATCTGCTCTTGCAGCACGTAGCACAGGGGCCATCTGAACTGATCTGTGGGACGCTGTGGTCAGTGTTTGCCCACAAGACCATGAGCTCTAAAGATAGACATTGATTTCCCTCTTGTAACTGGTCTGCACTTGAGTTTTTTTTTCAAACACACCTCATGAAAACACAGTATGTGGGCATACAGTTGCCACTGCTGTTTCTTTGGAAAGACTGTCCCTCATTCTGTAACAATGCCCTTCCTACTTATCTGGTTATCAACAATGTCCCTTCTTTTATTAAATGCTAGTTAGTAAATGCTTTTTGAAAAAGCATGCCTACTTGGTAAAATAAAAAGTTGACAATCCTATTCCCAGAGGTTTTTGGTTTTGACCTCTTACTGGGCAGTGTGTTCCCAAGGTCTGAAAACGGCTGCTGTCTACTATGACAGGCTTGCCCCAGGCCCCTGGGAAGTATGTCCAAGCCTGGTGAGGAATCAGACTTCACCGTTCTTTGGGGTGAAGGGATCCCACAGTCTGGGAGGGGTACAGCACCCTTCATCTGGGCCAAAGCAGCCAGAGTTGTTTATCTTACTCCCAAAAACAATGACACCATATGAATGATGAACTGGTTTGAATATTTCAGGAAACGTTCCTCAGAATGTTGTTCTAACAGAAAACACCAGTCCCCTGGAACCCAGCGGTGTGAGCCATGTTTCACTGATTCGGCAGCGATGACAGAGACGAAGCCAGCTCTCGTCCACTGAGCACCTGCTATGCGCCATGGTGTCACTTGAGCTTTGCGACCACCTGGCCTCCTTAGAGGGTATTTTAGGGCTACGTTAAAGGTGAGGTCACTGAGTGTTACTAACATGAAGACTCTGAGAAAGGTCACCACACTGGTTAACCAGTCAAACGTCGATTGTCCAGGCTAGTGGTGCACGGGAGAGCACAGGCCCCATCTACAGGGGCTGTCCGGCCCTGGCTCTAGCACAGAGCCGGGCTGGGGAAGCTCACAATTTCCAAATGGTGGCAATCAATTCAATTAGCAAGAGTGACCCAAAGTCCTTATCTATTAGACATAAAGTGTTTATAGGTGAAACAATATGTCTTCCATTTGCTTTAAAATACTCTGGGCTGGGGGTGGTGGTGGTAGTATTTTAAATAGAGAAATGATGGGGCAGATGAAATAAAACTTAGCCAAATGGTAATAACTGTTGAAGCTGAGGGCTGGGTATGTGGAGATTCACTATGCTACCCTCTATAATCTATTTTATCTATTCCTCCCTCACTCTTGCCCTCCACCCCTCCTCCCACCCTCCACCTGGCTGCCTGTCCCTGACCTCCACCCCATGCCACTCTCCTCTCCAGTGAAAAACAAAGCAGGTTTCTGCTTTTGTACCCAATCCGGTTGGTTCTTTCCCGAGAGGTGACCGCATCTTTGATGCTCCTTACAGAAGCCGCCCTGCCAAGGCTCACCTGCCATACCTGTGCCCCAGACCGGCTAGAAGTCAGTCACCATTTGCTGCTTTTGTCATCACAGGAGATGGCCTCTGGGGCGTACTCTTTATGGTTATCAGAGTGTGACAAGTTTAGTAAATACACATTATGTCACCTCCTTCCTGCTGCCTGCAGGTGGCATTCTTTTAAGTCTGTCCAACCATATAAAATCAGATAAAAGTTAACCAGCCCCAACATGCTCCTCAAGCTCCAGCGCGGAGATAAAACACCACCAGCTTCTGTCATTCAGCAAATGGCAATGCCTTCCCCTATGATGCCTCCTACCTTTTTATACACTGAAAGCATTTTGTGAAATGCAAAGTAGGTTGATTTTTTTCCCCAACGGGAGGTGAGAAGTTCCAGCATTTACAAACCACCACCAAAAACAAAACAAAATCAAAACTAACCAACAGGGACACATGCACAACTTATTCTAGTACCATGTGCTTCTAAAGTCCATAATTCCTAGTATTTTTCTAGAGTCGCCCTCTTTAGCAAAAGACATAATTTGCAATCAGGCTAGGTAAAGACAGACAGCCATTACCTTCTTAATGGCCAACTACACAAAAAGGCTCAGTTAAGTGATCTCGACTAGTAATCTAATCAATTAAAATTGATAAGTGAAATACTTTTAACCTTTATTTCAGCAGGCCATTCCTAGGGGAAGGAAGGAAGGAATGTGAATTCCCAGCATAAAATTTAATTCCATTTCACAGATGCAAACATTCTGATGTCCTGATGGAGTGGCCTCCTTAGAGCAAGCTGTTTCCCTTTCTTTCCTTGAAAGACAGGTTTATGGTTCTCTCCAGCCAGCTCGAGCCATTTAAACCCTTGCAGAAATCCCTGTGGCCATCTCTCAAGGGTGAAAGGGCCACAGGAGATGGGCACAGAGCACAGAGGGGACATAACTTCTTGTTCTCCCAAGAAAGGGAAGGCAGGAAGGCAGGAAGAAGGCAAGAAAAGGAAGCTAGACAACCAGGTACCACTCATGATAACCACTGACTGAGAATCTTCCACAGGTCAGGCAGGGTGCTAGCTTTTTCACACACATCACCTTATTTAATTAGCAGGTGAGTCCCTGGGTGGTGCAACCAATGGTGAACTCGCTCAGCTGCTAACCGAAAGGTTAGAAGTATGAGTCTACTCAGAGGGGCCTTGAAAAAAAGTTCTGAGGATCTACTTCCCAAAGATCACAGCCACTGGAAACCCTGTAGAGCACTGTTCTACTCTGATACACATGGGGCTGACTCGACGGCAACTTTTTTTTTCCAAATATTGACTACAGTGTGCTGAGTAGAGTTATATGCTTGGTCATGGAGCCTGGGTGGCACAAGCGGTTTGTGATCAGCTGCTAACCTAAAGGCTAGCAGTTCAAACCCACCTAGTGGCTTCACTGAAGAAAGACCTAGAGAACTGCTTCCATAAAGATTACAGCCAAGAAAACTCTATGGAGCAGCTTTATTCATCATGAGTCAGAATCAACTTGACAGCAGTGAGTTCGTTTTTTTTCCTACTGCTTGGTCATATATTTTGCTCAATCCTCAAAATGCCTTCTAATATAAGAAAAATCATTCCCATTTTACAGGCAAGGAAAGGGTGGCTGAGGAGGTTTCAAGTCATTTGCTTAAAGTAATACAGGGCAGGTAATACAGAGTGGAACAGGGATGTCTGGCTCAAGAGCTAATCTTCAACGTTCTTTATCATGATTGTTGGTTACACAACTGAGTCCTTTTATCAAAATTCATTGAATTTACATTAAAACTTGGTGAATTTTACTGTATGTAAATTATACCACAATAAAGCTGATTAAAACAACAACAATGATGACGACGATGACTCTGTCCTCAACATATGCTACAGAGCGGCCATCTGTTGTTTCTGTCTGCCCAGCATCCATCGCTTCTCTAGGATTTTCCTCTGAGGGCCTCCTCCTTCCTCACTCTTAGGTTATAAGGTTGAAAATGAACTGGCCCCACCTCCCAGCTCCAGGGCTGGACATGTGATCCCGGCCTAGCCAATCAGTGAATCACATTCCTCTGACCACTTCCTGGTTCAGGGATGGTCCTATGGCCAGCCAGTCCAATGACAGTCCTGCTCCGGACTTTTATATAAGTTACGGGAAAGAGAAGCTCTTTTTCTGTCAGGGTTATTTAGTGGGCCTAGCAAATGTTGGAGGTGCTGATGGGAGAGCTCCTATCACTACCTGAGGAGCGCCCTCCTGAGATGAAGCTAGAACAGAGGAAAGCGGAGCTGAGGGACGGAGTATGGCAGCTTCCTGATGACACTGCTTGAGGACCCAGATCCAGCCATGCCTGAAGGTGGACTACTCCCAGACTTTCCAGTGGCATCAACCAATTCCTCCTTCTTTTTCCTTAAGCCAGCCTGAGTTGCATTTTCCATCTCTTACAACCAAAGACTCTGAATGTACCATGTGCCTTTGAGAGACAGAAAACCATCTTGCTCGTGAGTGTGCACACAGCCCATACTGAAGGGAGGAAAGAGAAACTAGACAAATACAAGAGAGGTGATGGGGAACAGGGACTAGGCTTTATATCTGTCACCTTCTTTAAATCCCATCCTATGCTACAGATGAGAACACTGAGGCACTGAGTGGTTGAATAAGCAGCCGAAGGTTACACACCGAGCACGTGGGATTCCCGCCTCAAAGCCCTCGCCTTTATCTAAACATCAGTGATTTACTTCACAAGCTTTTCTTTTTATCAGCAGAATCCTTTTATCATTGGAACCATACAGAAAATCTCTAATACACCAAACCAATAAAACTGGTGCTGTTATGGGTATGTGAAGGGCAGGGATCCTGGCACTGTGTCCACCCCTACTTGAGACCCCACTCGCCCTCCACAGACCTCTGAGCAAACCACCAGCACAGCTCCACCCAGCCTGCAGAAAGCAGTGCCTCAGATGGACCTCAGGCACCCAGAATCTGGGGCCCTTGCTTCGAAAGTTTCACAGGCAGTCACAGATCGGCCATAGTACAAAATGCACATTGCACACTGACCCCCGCAGTGGTGCATAAGTCAGTGTTCCCAGCCCCCTGCTGCCACACAGGACAGTCCACTTACTCAGATCCAGGACGTCATCGGTTTTGATCAGGTCCTCCTCCCTCGTGAGCGGCAACTGGGTCTCGGGCTCACCTTGCAGCTGCAGTGACAGGGCGCGGAGCATGAAGAACACCCGGATGGCCTGGACAGACAGGTCAGAGAGCAGAGCAGAGTGAGACCGCAGAGCTGTGTCAGGGAGATGCCTCTCAGCAAGAAATCACACAGTGATTCCTGATGCAAAAGAGAAAGAAGCAAAACCAAAAAAGGCCACCACTCCCAGTAGCATGGTTCTGGCATCCTCAGAGCCAGACCAAAGACCAGAGGGCAGCAGCCTGTTCTCAGCCACCACGGACTCAGGTTTGGGTCACCTCCCCTCAACAGAGCCCCTGTCGTCTATCAGCTCTTTCCTCCAAGTGTCCCGTGAACTTCATAACACCTCTGTCCTGGAGGCCTTGGCCCCATTACATAGACAAGGCAATTGAGACCAAAGGAGGTGAAGTGCTTCTAGTGAGGGTGGAAACCAGGCCTTTTCCAACTAACAGAGCAGGGAATCTGGAAATCCGAGTCACGAGTAAAAGGGTGTCAATATCCTACCTACTAAGTGTGGGGTGGGGGTCCAGAGTGTATGATGCTTGTGGGCTTTGGAGCCAGCAAGACCAGATTAAATCCCGACTCTGGCCCTCCCTGGGCGAGTCCCTTCCCCTCTCGGAGCCTCCACACCTTGACCTTACAGTGAGCCCTTACAGTGAGTGTGCTGTGGCTGACAGAGGCTGAGGGTGTGGCACCTGGCAGGTGTGCCCTAGGCTTCCCAGGCAGCTCTGGGAGGGCAGAGGTGGTCCCTCTAGCACAAGGACTCCTGGCCACGGAAGAGATGTCTGCTTGGTATCCAGGGTGGCCACCAGGCATTCCCAGAGAGCAGAAGAAAGCAGCACCCCAGGCCCCAAAAGCCAGTAGTTTGTGCAGAAGCAGCCTTCACCTCTGGGATGTGGAGGGGGTTGTAGCTTGTCCTGAGGGCACCTTCCCCTGAAACCTTGTTGAGGCTGGCTGGCACACCAATGAGAGGACAGTAAGCAGAGGGGCAGTCACCATGGATGGTCACCTCCAGGGCTTTCCCTGGTTTCTGGCTGATGGGCCTGCCTGAGGGCGGAGTGCAGAACACTGCAGAGGGGAACAGTGCAGACAGACAGGTCTGCATCTGGTGATCCTGGGCAAGTCAGCTGCCCTCCACGGCTTCATTTTTCTCATCTGCGAAATGGGGATGGTCATCCCTAATCTGCAGGTCTGCTGGGAGGCTCTGTGACAGCACTGGAGGGGCAGCAGCCACTGTCAGGCTCTGGAAAGACCGGCTGTCCCCAGATGCACTCATTTGACCGGCACCACACTGGGGACCAGGGAGGGCAGGGGACAAACCACTGTCATCACTGGTGAGCCATGTAAAGACAGACGCCAGCACTTCTGGACTTTCTTGTTTACAAGCTCCGAGGGCTACAGCCTGGCCCGCTGTGAGGGGAGGCTGGGTTTACACAGCAAGGTTCCTCCCAGAATACAAAGGGGGACAAACTACTGCCTGCCCAGAGGTGGGCTGGCACTGCTTGCTGATGGCCAGGCAACTCGGAGGCCGATTGGCACACCTAGCCCTAATGCAACCCGGCCCGGCACCAATGGGAGCCCTGGGACTAAGGATGTCATCTCCTCATATGGAAGACTGGAAGAGCAATCCTACCTCCCGGGCCTATTCTCAGGTCATGTATTTCCCTCTGTCAACTATAAAGCACTAGAGAAAGGCCAGCTTTTCTATGATGATGGTGACACTAGTATCTGATTGTTTTTAACAGTTTTTGAAAGTAGAGTCTTCAGAAAGACATCTGCACCAATTAGAAGAAAAAGAGGTGACGTTCTGTTAAAAAATCAAAATAGTTTCTGTTTATTTTTCTATTAAGTGCCCATCGTGTGCTAGGCACTGTACTATTACAACCTGAAGAGGAAGAGAGAGAGCCGAGAGGGCAGAGCGACCTAAGTTCACACGGTTGCTAAGCAGCAGAGCGGGGGCTGAAGCCCAGGAGCCGAGGCCCCACCACTGAACCGGGGCCGGAGGAAGCCCATACTCTCAGGCCAGCCCAAGTGTACTCCAGAAACCCAAGGGGTGTGTCAGGGGGCGGGGTGGGGGGGGGGGGGGGGGGCGGTCACTTGACATGGTTTGCGGCTAGAGCTCTCAAATGAAAAGGTATGACCTCGGGGATGATGCAGTAAGAGAGAAAAAGGCCCATCACCATCAGGTCCAGTCAAGTAGGAGCTTCACTTCTCTGTCAAAACGCATAGTCCTCTTGGGGTTATGCAGGCAAAGAAACCAGGCAGGTCCACAGCCTGGGGGTGAGGAAACAGAAGCACGTGTGTCTTCTACACATCAGCCCCTCATTCTGAAAAGCTAAAACCTTCAAAGATAAAAGGAGTTTGGAATTTGGCTAAGAGAGGCCTTTTTTGGTAAAATATCTGCTCTGGCTCTGCAAGCAACAAATGGAAGATATTTCCAGCAATACAAAAATCAAAAATATATATAAAATAATATGATACATGAAACAGAATATAAAATAAAAGCTGTCGTTGTCAAGTCAATTCCAACTCATAGCAACCCTACAGGACTGAGCAGAACTGCCCTATAGGGTTTCCAAGGCTGTGTGATCTTCACAGAAGCAGACTGCCACATCTTTCTCCTGCAGAGCAGCTGGTGGGTTTGAACCACCGACCTTTTGGTTAGAGGTTGAGTACTTAACCACTGTGCCACCAGGGATCCTAAAATAGAATATAAAATCTATCAAATGAAATCCCCAATACTTTTCCTGGTTTCCGGGCCCACTCCTCAGAGGAGGCTGCGGCACAGAAGCCCATGCCCAGGAACACGAGGCAGGCACACCCCACCAGGGCAGGCTGCCCCACCCAGGCAAAGCCCAGGCTCCCATGGGAGTCTCTCACGCCCTGGCAGGCACATTGACCTGCAACCCTGCAAATCCTTTCTCTCGGGACTCACAAGAGAAAGGCAAAATACAAGCACGAGAGTCATAAAAGTCATCCCACCACCCCCTAAAACCATAACCATGCCCTCTGATTATCCTCTGTACGAGGTAACATGCCAGGGGCTGTACGAGTGTCATCTCATTTAAGCCTTTTAACAACCCTGTGAGGTTGCCACTGTACAGAAGGGAAACTTAAGCCTGGGGTGTCAGGCAATCTGCCCACCATTACTCAGTTAGTAACTTGATTCCAAAGTCTGAGTTCCTCTAACCCCACTCCTTTGCCTTGGAAAATGTAAGGCTTAGGGTCCAGGGTTTTATTGGGTGCTTTCCTTTTCTTTGCTAAAAACCACAACCTGTTGCCATAAAGTCAATTCTGATTCATGGTATCCCCATGTGTTACAGAGAAGAACTGTGCTCCATAGGGTTTTCTTGTCTGTAATGTTTATGGAAGCAGATCGCCAGGCCTTTCTTCTGCAGTGCCACTGGGTGTGTTCAAATTGCCGATGTTTAGGTTAGTTAAAAAAAAACAACAAAAACCCACTGCCATCAAGTCAATTCCAACTCATGGTAACCCTATAGGACAGAACAGAACTGCCCCACAGGGTTTCGAAGGCTGTGATCTTTAAGGAAGCAGACTGCTACATCTTTCTCCTGAGGAGCTGCTGGTGGGTTCGAACCGCCACCCTTTTGGTTAGCAGCTAAGTGCTTTAACCACCACGCCATCATGGCTACTCTTTTAGGTTAGTAGTCGAGCACAAACCATTTGCCCCACCCAGCGACCTTTCTTTGCTAAAAGAAGATGCAAATTTTAAAGTGTTACTAAAAAGAAGAAAACAAATGATTATTCTTTCAGACACTTCCACAGAATACCAGGGAGACTGACTGGAAGAACTAACAGATTAGACTGTGAAAGAGGTGATGGTGCCAATCTCAAACGTGAAGAAGAGACTCCTGCAAGTTTCTCTGCGTCCAGTTGTCTGGGAGCAAACGCTAGCAAGGATGGTCCCCAGGGAACCAGCCCAGTGAGTCGGGCAGGAGGATAGCTTCAGAATCAGACAGACCTTAGCTCAACCAAATTCCCTGAGCCCAGGCCTTATGGTCTGGGAGCGGGGTACCTACCATCCCTGCTCATGGGGGCACCGTGAAGGTGCTACAAGATGACGCAGGTAACACACAGAGCCCTGGGGCTGGCCTGGGATAAATGCTCCGTTCACACCTGTGCTCCCGCTTCCCTGCTGCATTTGCACGCTGCTTAGTTTGGGTGACAGCCACTCAGGTTAGAAGCCCACCAAGCCCGTGGAAATGGCTGTGAAAGTCAGTCATTCTTAAAAGGGTGCTGAAGCAGTTTAAAATGGGCACAACCCATTGGGAAAGCAATGTGGCGATATGCAGAGAGTTACAAGAAAACGTTCACACCCTTTGAACAAGAAATTCCACTTCTGGGAACATATCCTACAGAAATAACCCAAAAGAAAGAAAACACTGAATTCACAAAGCTCTTCATTACAGTTCAGTTGAAAATAATGTAATACTGGAAGCAACCAAAATGTCTACAAGCAGAAAAATGGTTACGTAAATTATGGCAGAAGTCACAGATAAACTTCTATGCAGTAAAAAAAAAAAAAAAAAAATCAGTTATTAAAACTGTGTCACAACATGGGAGAATTTTTATTCTACAATGAAAAGTGAGAAAAGCAGGAGTGGGGCTGGGAGGAGGACAGGACCATGGGACCCTCTTTGCAACCAGGAGAAGATACGTTTACAACCAAGGATCGAGAGGGGACACCAAAAATGCCTCAGTGTTTGTTTACGGTGATGAAATCACAGGGAATTCTTTTTCCTCTACTTTCGAAACTTTATGAGATGCAATTTTATTTTCTCTGATGCATAATACACATCCAAAGAGAAAAGCAAAATATCCTATTTCCTCAAGGTCAACAGCGATAAACACAAAAGCTAACTACGGTTTTACAAGGGAACCGGGAAAGAGACTGCAGGGACAAATAAAACCAAATGCAAATGCACTGACTTCATAATGGCTTCCGAGATCACTAGATAAAGGTGGCTGGCTTGAGACCTGATGTTCACAGAAAAACCCCATCCCTAAATCTCTCTTCTCTAGCATTAAACGATTAAACGTGGGTGGATTTAGCTTGCTAATTATCCCATTTTTTTCCTCCCTAAGATGCTAGAATACTCTATCGATGTGCAGCCAGCATTTCCTGAGTGCTCGCTCTCTGCCAGGCACCAGGCTCGTCACTTCACAGCCACTCTCCTCATCTACTCGGGGCAACAGCTGTGAGGTGGCACACACGGGGAACCGAGGTTCCGGAGGCAAGCATCTCCTTCAAGGTCACACAGCTAGGGCCAGGACTTCACCTGAGGTTGGTCTGACTCACGAGCCAGTGTTCTTTTTTAATCAATTTTTTCAGCTGCTCCTACATATGGGTGGGTCCAGCCAAAGTCTGAAGTTCTGCTTGAATGTTCTCATCAGACTCCAACAGCTCCTCGTTAACCCACTGCCGTCAAGATGATTGCGACTCATAGAGACCCAATAAGACTGGGTAGAACTGCCCCACAGAATTTCCAAGGCTGTAAATCTTTATGGAAGCAGATTGCCACATCTTTCTCCCTTGGAGCGGCTGGTGGGTTTGAACTGCTGACCTTTCGGTTAGCAGCTGAGCTTTTTACCACTGCGCCACCAGGGCTTCTTCCAACAGCTCCAGGGCCCTTCATTTCAATGTGAATTTCCCTTCTCTAGCTCCATGGGCTGGGAGCTGCTCTTGCTATTTTGGTCTTATCTGGTATTTATTCACTGCTCTATCCTTGTACCTTGCACAGGGCTATGCCCCTAGAAAATGCTCAATGAGTAAATGCAATGAAAGAATAAACGGTGTGACTTAGAAAATGCAGGACAGATAGCACCACTTTACTGTCCCAGCCTCCCTCTGGCTTGCAAGGCCCAGACAGCCTCCTCTCTGGCCTCTTCCCTTCCCCCTCTCCTCCACTCCCTCACTCTACTCTAAGCACACTGCTTCTTGAATAGCCAGACTCTTTCTCACCTGGGCCTCTGCACTTCTATCAGTCTGGAAAGCTTCCCTTCTGTCTGTCTGAAGAGCTCCTCCTTTAAGTCAATGCACGGCTGGCTCCTTCTCATTCTTCAGGCATCAGCATGAATGTCACCTCCACACACTAGCTTTTCCTGACCCCTCCATCTAAAGCACAGGTGCCTGAGTGGCACAAAGGGTTTGCTCTTGACTGCTAACCTAAAAGTTGGTGGTTCAAACCCACCCAGCAGTACCATGGAAGAAAGGTCTGGCAATCTACATCCATAAAGATTATAGTCAAGAAAACCCTACGGGCAGTTCTACTCTGTAACACGGGGTTCATCCTGAGTCAGGACAGGCTCGATGGCAATGTGTCTGGCATGGCTCTGCTAAAGCAGTGCCACCCCCTCGTCCACCTGCCACTTCTTTCCTCAGAGCTTGTACCGCAGTCTGGTGTCAAACTTGCTGTTTGTTATGTGTTTTTTATTCGTCTCTCCCAATGTCATGTTAGGTGCAACAGGCAGGAACTTTTTGCCTGGTTCCATTCCATCCCCAGGCACAGCACAGTGCCAGGCACATAATAGGAATCTAGCAGCTCTTTGAGGAATGTATGAATGAATATTCAAGTTAGGAGTGATTTTCTAGTAAGGGTTGTTTGAACTCCTTTGACAAGTCCTCAAGGAATATAAAGTGTGAGGTTTTTGAAAAGAGTCAGCCTCCTAAAAGTTAAAACAAATCTACTAGGGAGTGGAAAAAAACACCACCAAACAAAAAAGCAACAACCTTCGAATCCAAAAGGATGAAATGGAATGTTCTTTGGATACAAGCAAAAAACTTGAAACAAACCACATAAGCCCTCAATTGCTTGCTAAACCATATACTTCCTTTAGCTCAAATTCAAAACACACTGCTGTGTTCTGATTTCTGAAACAGGCTCGAGGAGCTAAGCTTCAGGATGATTCCTGCCTTGCCACAAGAACTGGATTGAGGTGAATGGCTGAAATTACCCTTCAGAAATGGATTCTTAAAGTCACAGAAGCAAGCACTTCTAAGGTGGACGGCTCTGCTCTGAGGCGCTGCCCTATTTTATACCATTTTGTTGTCTTCTCCCTTGCTCTAAAACCCATAGGTCCTGTGATTGGAGAGTTGCTTTCGTGAACCTGTAAGGCAGACAAAAGCCTACCAAGAGACCCCAGGGGAGCCCTGGCATTCTCAGGGGCTCTGTCGGTGCTTCGGTCAGCAATATGGGCCAAGCATCCCATTTAGGGGCAAAGGGGGTGGGCTGCTACCCTGGGGAACTGGCACCTAAGGGGGACATGACGGGCAAGAGACAGAGGGAAGATGCGCATGCCTGTCATCGGGGACCTGCCAGTGGCCTTCTGCAGTGAAGCCTTCCATTCAGTCCTCACAGTCAAGTCTGGAAAGGTGGCATGTGCTGCTTTATGATGAAGAGATGGCAGCTCAGAGGGAAGCGGGCATCCCAAAGCCCAGGCCAGCTCCCTCCGCCACGAGCCTGACGGCCTCTGCCCTGGATCTCTCCGTTTCTCTCCTGTGGGTCAGGACCGCCTCCCCACGCCCCCAAGCAGGGCGCGATGTCATTAGACAGAGCCCACGGGCAACGGCCGAGGTCCTCGCTGGGCTCCAAGGCCCCCAGGACCTGGCACTGCCAGCTCTCCGGCCTCATCACTGCCCACTCAGCCTCCCTCTCTCGGCTCCAGGGCCATCATTCCTGGAAGGTGCCAAAATGTGCCATGTCTCTCTGGGCCTTTGCCTCCCACAGCTGCCCAGACCACCCCTGTCTTCCACCTTAAGAACCATCCCCTCTGGTGCCTCCCCAGGTGGGATTAGTAATGCCCCGACCACATGGACTGACCCTGCCTTCTTCCTCACCTTGCCCTCCATGCGGTGATTCCCTGAGGACTGGGCTGTGCTTTCTGAATCCCTGCTGCCCAGCACCGAGGGCTATACGAGGATGCTAGCAGTGGGAAACAGTGGGCCAGAGCGGTTAAGAGTTTAGGTTCTGAAGGCACACAGCCTGGGTTGAATCCTGACTCTGCTTCTTACTAGCTAGGTGACTCTGAGCAAATCACTTGACCTCTCGGTGCCTCAGTTTCTTCCTCTGTAAAATGGGGATAATAACAGTGTCAACCTTCTAGGGTGGTTGTGAGGATTAAATGAGGAAATCCATGTAAAGAACTGCTGTGAATGATCTACTTTGTCACAAAAGACACAAGCGTATGGAAGTGTTAAGCAAACCCAATGAGCCACGAACCAAAAAGAAGGCAGAGTGCAGCCCAGAGCAGCAGCTCTAGACACTTACAGTCCCTGGACCTTTTGGCTCAGGGGCCGTGGTGGGCCTCTAAAGCTAGCCCTCTCTGGCAGGGGACACTGCAGCTGGTGGGTGTGGGGCCTCTCCATAACTGAGGAGTTAAGCCTTTACCAGGAGCATCTCCTGGGCCAGCCAAGGCTCAGGGTGAGCGTGCAGCATCAAGGAGTTGCCAACATGATACACAGTTGTCAGAACCAGTCCTCCGTGGGTGCTGATGCCAGGGACGCTCAGTGCAAACACTGCCACCCACAAACAGCACTATCTGCCCGGCTAGCAGGGGCTGCAGCGCTGGCTGGGGCACATGGAAGGAAGGCGTCAGTGGCTTGGACAGGGTGGGTCCTGTGGTGAGGTTTGTGGTTTTGCTCAGACAGCAGGGAATGTGGACTGACATAAGACGCATGAGTCTGACTTCCTCCGCACCCCCCAGGCCTCCGAGGCAGAGTCGCCGGCCAGGTGGGGTGGAGGAAGGCTACAGAATCCTCTCGTCTGAGGCAGGCACAGCACCTCACTCCTGCTTTTAAAAAACCAAAAGCACAACTCCTCTGCCACTCTGATCACACATGGGTTAACTCGGAGGAACACACAAGCTGATAACAAGAGCCTAGCGCAGTGAACTCCTCTAAATTATCCATTAATACTTAGTCTCCAGGGAAGGATTTTCTAGGAAAAGGTTCTGATGCTTTCTAAGAAAGAAACTGCGATCTTACAAGGGTGATAAAATACCATGAACGGCCTCGCGGAGCCAGCTTCCTAGAGCGCCTACTTCAGAAAAAAAGCATGCTGATAACAGAAGCACACACTCTAGCGCGGTTCTGAGAACCACCGTGCTCCTCACACATGCCCCTCAGCGGGTGCGAGAATCACCATCTCATCTGTGTGGGCCTCGCCCAAGATCAGCCAGATACCTCAATGTCGCATTATCTCCTCGGGTCCTGGCACGTCACACTGAGCTCACCTGCACTGTATCTGCTGGGCTCCTCCCTGCCCCCGCCCCCATTTTGCAGAAGCCTGGCCTCCTGGTTTCCTCTCAGAGCTCAGGGGTGGGTGCTGCTGTGCTCTGTACCTGGAGGCAGCCTGCCTGCAGCTGACGTCCAGTGCCAAAGGAAACGGAATTCTAACCCCCGTGTTGCAAAGGCAACACTCTGTGTGAAGTGACAGCTGGTGACAGGGCACAGGAGTGGCAGGCACTCACTACCTAAACTTGTGCTGGAAGGAGGCTCCTGACTTGGTCAGGGACCCTGTTCCTCCTATCCTGGGAGTGGCTGTGGGGACAGCTTCCCGGGAGAGGACAGGCAGAACTCACTCACCCGCCGGGTCTTCTCCACGTCGCCACACGGCAGGCGCTTCACAAAGTCGATGCCTGTCAGTGGCGTACCCGTTGGGGGTAGCAGGATGGAGGCGTCCATCATGAGGTACTCCACATTCATGGGCTTCATCTAGAAACGAGACAGCGCAAGAAACCTCAAAGAAGGGCACTCACCTGCAGAGGACAGGGTGGGGCAGGGCACCCAGGCCTCTTGCCTTCCCCTGCACACAGTAAACCAGCCGTGTCAGTCCTGGATTTAGACTGAGGGGACACCTCAAAGCAGCCAGGCCTGTGAGCCACACGTCTTATTTGTTTTTCTAAGTTGCAAACTTTTCCTTTAATTGAAGCAACGGCTCAGACACTCTGGAGAAGTTGCTTCCCTGCAGTGAAATGCTTTGCCTTCGCATCCTCTCATACTCACTGCGCCCAGTCAGGGATAGAGGGGATTGCTAAGGAGGCCAGTCCCTCTAGGGTGGCTTACCCCTCGGAGGGTAAGCCTGCCTGGCGCCTGCACCTCCTGTTTAATGAGCAGCCAGCCCCTTCTGGCTGCTGTTGCTGGGAAGCCAGATTGTCAGGCTCATCACACCTCATGCATCAAACAGGGGGCTATGGGGGCAAAAGTCAAGGCCTGGCTTTAATGCAGCACCCAAGGGCCTGGGCCTACTTCGTGTCACTCAGCGCTGGGTTTTCTCAAGACTGAGCTGAGGAGTGACTTTCAGACCCGGAGCCTATGGGTGTGTAGTCTTTGTAATTCTCTAGAGTGCAGCGCATTGTGCAGGACACACAATAAGCATATGATTCAAACACAAACAAAACCAGGACACTCCCCAGGCAGGAGCGGGTAGAGGAGAGGAGCATTTGTGGGGCACAGGCTCTACAGCCGGGTCTTCCCTGGGTGTTTGACACCTGGCCTGGGCAGCTACATGGAATGGTCCCCGTTTCACAGATTGAAAAAAACAAAGGCTCAGAACTGAAGCAGCCTGCCCAAGGTCACACAGTGAGGAAGCAGCAAAAGCAGAGATTGAGCAGGGGTTTAAGAGCTCAAGCTTTTCTGCACAGCCAAGTGACAGATGAGCCCTGCGATTCCCAACAGGAAACCAAATTGTGGAGAATACACTGTGGAGGGGACGCTAACGGGGGAGAAAAAAACGGCGACTAACCGCCGAATCCACCTCACTCCAACGGTCTGAAGACAGAGACACTGTTCTCAGGGGCCAGAGGACACGATAGGGGTGGTGCTGTAAGAGAGGAGAGAGGTGGACCCAAGCAGCCCTGCGTCACCATGAGGAGGCCTGGGCATGGGCTGCCATGGGCTCCCTGGGCATTTCTGGAAATGAATTATGCCAATTTATGCTTGTCCCCTGCAAAGGCTCCGCGGAGGTCTCACGTGCTGTGAGCAAGGATGCGGTAAGGCCCAGCTGTCCCCAGACCCCTGGTGAGGGTGCTGGGAAGCCGAGGAGCCACTTAGCGCTCCCTGCCTGACTTCTTCTTTCTGACACTTTACATACTTATGTTTATTATCAACTTCCCTCGTCACTTCAGTCTTGGGTGAGTAACATCCATGAGAAGGACCATTCACCATCTACTGAACGAGTGGCTCCTAAGCGGTAGGGGCTGGGGAGGCAGAGATGGACAAAACAGAGAAAGCTACCATCTTCTGAACCTGTCACTTCCCATGACTCAGACTGCTGGAGGGCGAAAGGAACACCCTCTGCGGGTGCCGCGGATTCAAGGAAGAGCCACATGCTGGAACATTCCAGTGGAGCGGCAAAGGGAGGTGGGCAGCATCACGTACGTATGGAGACGGGCAGGGGATTGGGAGGAGAACGGCTCGGCTTTGGAATCCCAGCTCTGCCACTCACCAGGCAGATCTGGGCAGTCTCTGACTCAGTTTTCTGATGGGTAAAAGAGGGACAATGACAGCAGCTATTGCCATTGGGTTGACGTGAGGGTTAAGATATTTGCTACATACAACATACTTCACACAGTCCTCAGTAAAGAGACCCTCCCCGTTAGGGGACACTGAATGTCTGTTAAGAGTGATAGAAAAAACTGGAAACAGTGGCAAGAGTTGAACAACATGAGGAACATGAATAATGTCACTGAATTGTACATGTAAAAAATGCTGAAATGGTAAACATTTTGTGATACATGTATTTACCACAATTTAAAAAAAAGACAGTATTGGGACAAAGGGCAAAATATTAATATGCACTACATATTAGCTAACAGCACTGTATCAAGGAGGATACTTCCTTAATTTGGTAATTGTCCTAAGGATATGTAAGAGAACATCCTTAGTCTTAAGAGAAATATGCTGACATATTTAGGGATGAAGAGTCATGATGTCTGAAGCTTATCATCAACTGGTTCAGGAAAAGAAAAAAAAAAAAAAAACCTAAAATAATTACAAGAAAGAACCCTGAAAAAATATGATTCACATCTAAGTGAATCTTTCTGACCCATCTTATGATGCAGCCCAGCCTGGGCAGAGTGGATTAACCTGCAGTCTCCACAGTGGCGGAGATGGAAAGGCACCATGTTAAGTTCACTTCCCGACCAGTCTTTGCCACTTGGTCAGAAAGCCCAAAGTCAGACAGTGTCTCTCTCTAGGCAGGGTGGGCTTAGCAGGCCGCAGGCCACAGGCACACACCAACCCAAGGGCACTCTGGCCACTCACTTACCGTCATGCTCCTGTACTCATCTTCAAACATGTCCAGAAAAATTTCTTCTCCCTAAAAAGAAAGCAGGAAAGAGAAGATTTTTCATATTTTTTTCCCCACAAACAAGTATTATAAAATCCAGTTTGCAGCTTTTGGGGCCATCTGTTTCTCATTAGCGAGTTCTCGTAAATCACCAGGAAGTAAGACACACACGTGAACACAAGCACACACACTCAAATGAAAGACCAAATATCAAATTGCACCACTTGACATTTTTCTCCTTTTTTTCTTTAAGCATAGGAAGTTAGATTTCTTTGGTCAAAGAAATTAATTAAAAAGAACAATAAAAATAACACTATATAAAATTAAAATATAGACAAGGTTAATATTTCACATGTTTAACTCATCAATTTGTCCAGAGTGGTTGGAGAAATGGGAAAACCCAGTCAAGCTGCCATGGTAAAACAGAAGGCCCCACACCTCAGAAAGGTCCCGTTTTGTTGTACTTATAGGGTCGCTGTGAGTTGGAAACAACAGCACCTAACGACAAAACAACAGTAAAATTACGTGGCTTGTTTTGCTGATTTTTGAGGCACTCCTTCGGGATTTTGTAGTTCCTCAGGGCCATGACTCTGCCCAGGAGGTCCTCTCAGAACAGGGTGGGGGTAAGAACTTAGCTCTGAGATAACGTAAAACTAAAAAAGTTGCCGTCAAGCAGATTATGACTCATGGCACCCCCGTGTGTGTCAGAGTAGGTAGAACTGTGCTCCACAGTTTTCAACAGCTGTGATTTGTCAGAAGTAGATCATCAGGCCTTTCTTTGAGGCACCTCTAGGTGAATTTGAACCGCCAAACTTTACTGTTAGTACCTGAGTGCTTAACCATTTGCGCCACCTGGCGACTCCTTGGACACATACACCAGGGCCCAAATTCATGCTCTACCTCTTGGAGCCTCTCTTTGTTTCGCTGCAAGATGAGCTGATAGCTCATGTCTGTCCGGGTCATTCTGAAGAGGATGAGACATGTTAAGTGTGGAGCACTCAGTCAGGGTTGGGTGAACAGTAGTGCTCACTGCCTTTATGATCAGTACTGGACAGACTCATAGCTGTGGATGGGAGAGGAGATTCAGCTGAATATGTGACGCTCTGCTAGAACTGTCCTTGTCTCTCCCCTAAGTCCTGAATGAGCCCCCCCCCCGAAAAAAAGGGAAGAGGTTCTTTTTATATTTTCCCAGTTGTCAGAACTACAGGTAAACCTGAATATTCTTGCATAGTATAGGTATCACCAACAGAAATGACAACCCCTGAAAGCATCCAACAGTTTCTGGGACATTCCACTTAGAGTGTAAACATCATAGACAAAAAAATCTGGGTTGGGAGAAAGGAGCCCAAATTCAAATACAGCATTCTATTTGGTAATAAAAAAGAAAAACCTTCTGGGAAAATGCTTGTCTATACATCTTCAGGAGCCCTGGTGGCTCAGTGGTTAAGAGCTACAGCTGCTAACCAAAAGGTCAGCAGTTCAAATTTACCAGCTGCTCCTTCAAAACCCTACGGGGCAGTTCTACTCTGTCCTATAGGGTTGCTGTGAGTCAGAATCGACTCGACGGCAACCGGTATACATCTGTGTTTTCTGCAATCCAAGAGCTTTCTGTTGTTGTTAGGTGCCGTCGAGTCAGTTCCAACTGACAGTGACCCCATGTACAACAGAATGAGACACTGCCCGGTCCCGCGCCATCCTCACAATCATTGCTACACTTGAGCCCATTGTTAGCAGCCACTGTGAGCTTTCTAGAAGGCAAATAAACTTAGAGCTATATTGGAAAGACAATCAAAGATGTCAAATGCAGCCATGAGGGTTCTGCTTCCTTCGCAGCTTTGCTAAATGAAGTCAGTCTGTCCTTACTAGAGGCCAACTGGGGCTGGGAGGCTGGGATTTCCAGTGTAAGGGGAGACTGAGTTTTCCTCCCAGTGCATTGGCCAGCAGCAGTGCTACCCTCGTCTGGGCATGTCCATGTGCTGCAGCTGGATGGAGCCATCGGAGCCTGGCGGGTGGATTTCCAGATTATATGACCTGGTTTTATCTCAAGGAACCCTGACAACAATGGACAAGTGGCTTAAAAAGATTCCTACAAAGAAACAGCGATTTGAAGAGAGTACAAATAATAAAAGCAGAGGTGAACAACACGAGAAGGGTAGAGCTGACATGCTCCCTCCTCCTCCGAGGGCCCTTACATCAGCCACATTTGGCAGGGAAACCACCACCAACGGGATCTGATATGCAGGCCAAGAGACGTGAAAATTATTAGGTCTATTTGGAATATGGATTAATCCACTACTGGAAACCAATGATGAGCCTTGCTTAAGAATATACTACACCTTAAGATATGAGTCAAACAAAACCATCGTGATCAGATATTTTAAAACTAATCATTTAGAACCTGAAGACAAGTACCTACAAATTTTGTAGATACTGAAGATCATGCTGGTGCTTTATAAAATCTCACTACACTTAATGACAAATGTTCAGAAGCCTGTATGAGATTTGTTATGTATATAATATATACAATATAATTCATAATTTATATATATACACGAGTAATTCACAAATAATTCATATGTATAGAATGTACATAATTCATATACTCACATATAAGTTCATCATGCATAATTTATCCATACTTATATATATGTCCACAACTCATAATTTATAAATTCATAAATAAACAAATGAATATATAATTCATAAACAAACAGTCATATACGAGAGATGTGTGCTCAAAAATTTTACTGATGGGCAGTGAAGTTCAGAGACCACTGCTCTGGAGAAACTGAGCATTTTTACTTGATAAAAAAATAACCCAAGACCCGTGACCTTGACATGTACAGACCTAGACACCACTACCCTGTTTACACAGACGTTCAATGATGCTCTGCCAATTTACCTTGTAAAAATGCCGCACCAGGTGAACGCTTTCTTCTCTTGCACCCTGTTAAAAAGAGGAGAAAGGCATGAAGGAGGCAAGTCTTGTGAAGGCCAGTGAGTCGGGTAAATTACTAAGTCTAAAGTCCAAGTGGATATAAAACAGATGCTGGGCTAGTATCCTTAATACGTAAAATGGTTCTTACCAAGCGAAAAAGAGGGACAGGGAGTAACCTCCAAATAAAAGTGGGCAAAGGACAAGCAATCCAATTTAATGGCAAGGAGAGTTGTTAATATACAGTTAAATGGGGGAAAAATGGGTTACAAAATATGCTCCATTTTTACAAAAAGTTCGTTTGTGTGTGTATGTATATATATGTGTGCAGAAGCCAAATAACTGTAACAGAAATCACTAAAATTCAATGATTAAGTGGGCTCTTCAAGCAAATCTTGGAGCCGTGGTGGCGCAGTGGTTCAGTGAGATGGCTGGTAACCAAAAGGTTGGCAGTTCGAGTCCACCAGCAGCTCCTTGGAAACCCTATGGGACAGTTCTACTTTGTCCTATAGGGTTGCTATGGGTCGGAATCGACTCAGCGGTAACGGGTTTGGTCTTGGGTCAAGCAAATCTCAACTGCAGGAAGTTCCCATTTGAACAAGGGGGTTGAAGTGGACATCAGGCCCAGCTGCTTCTGGCTGCTGCTGTGGCTGCCACAGACAGGAGGCTCCGATCTGGACATCAGCAGCAGCCCTCCCGAGCCTCCTGCACCTCTCCCGAACAGTGCCCAGGAAGAGGGGAGGAGAGGCCTCACCTCCAGGCAGGCCAGGTGCACGTCCTTGATGATGCAGCCGTTGCTGGTCAGGACTTGCTGCTTTAGGAGCAGGCAACTCAGCTCCAGTGTCGCCAACCGGATCTTCCCGTCTGCAAAACACACTGCAGTCAGCCTCGGGCCTGCCCCCCGCTGCACACCCTTCAACAGTCTCTTGGCTTACTGCTGCTCAAGCCCTCAGCATCCAGTGGAGACGCAGAGGGAACCCCTACATGCCAGCCCCCTCCCCAGTCAATTACAATGCCCCTCATCAAAACTGCCTCTACCAAATACTTCCCTGAAGTCCTTCTATCGGGGGAGAGGAGACAAGAAAAAGACGGTCACTGATTATAACTGAGTCCCTGGGTCATGCAAATGTTTAACGAGCTCAGCTGCTAACCAAAAGATTGGAAGTTTGAGTCTACCCAGAGGCACCTCAGAAGAAAGGCCTAGTGACCAATTTCTGAAAAATCAGCCATTGCAAGCCCTATGGAGCTGAGTTCTACTCTGATACACCTGGGGTCACCATGAGTCACAACTGACTTGACGGCAACTGGTAATTATTACTGAAGGCCTAGAAAGTGGCTATTGGTGGTTTTATCACTTGTCTAGCATTCTTTCCTCTTCTTCAGAGAAAGCACCCCCACTTTGCTTCAGAGAACCACTGGCCCCATTTCATCATGTGATTTGGATGAAGCTGAACCCCTCCCCCGACCCAGGCCAGTTAGGGTGTCCCATTCCCCTGGTCACAGTGACTGGGTAGGGGACGGGCAAGGGAGCCAGGCGGGGCCAGTCAGTCTTGTTCCACAATTTGCTGGAATTGTTGGGCAAGAGACGCTACCCTTGTGCTGGGCTGGTGAGGACACGACGGGCGGTGGGTCCTCAGGACCACAAGCATCCACACCAGCTACCTCCCCACCCTTGCCAGTGGCTTTAATCTTTCCTAAAGTGCTCTGCTGACAGAGGTGCAAGTCCTGCCTTCCAACCAGACTGCCCAAGCCTAAATGTCTCCCATATAGTGAGTCTAGAGGCCGAACAGAGAAGAGGGACGGCTGGAGCTGCTGGCAGTTATCCTGCCCATCCAGAAGACTGCAGAGACCAAAGAGAGCCTGGAAAACATTGTTTGATCCCCTGGATGCAGCTGTGCCTGAAGCCAGAAACAATGGACTTTTCACTTTCACAACTCAACAAGAGTGTGTGTGTATTTCTGTTGTATTGTTTAAGTCAGTCTGAGTTGGGTTGCTGTTAACCGCAACCAAGTTTTGACCAACACAGCCTGCTATCCTACTGTGAGTCAGGCATGTGCTGGGTGCTTTATGTATATGTTCCCTCAAGGACTGCGGTTTAGACAAGTGAAGTGACTTGCCCAAGGTCTTTCAGATGGGCCAGGTGGACTGCAGGGATTCTGAACACCAAGAGCCACCATATCTGGCACCTCTCACAAACGCATCTGTGACTGCCTGACGGAAGTGCAACCACCTCTGATGCAAACTCCTCCGTGGGTCTCTACAGCTTATTTCTAGGGCGAGTTCTGATGCTAAAGGAGGGGCCAGGAGAAGAGGAAATCTCCAGGCCACTGCAAAACACTCCAATGTAGATACACCACCATGCACTTCTCTGCCTGCCATTTTGTTAATGACTTGTAAGTCAGGTGTAGAACTGACGAGAAGAGGAAATTGGTTCACTTAACAAGGAGTAAACTCTATACAAACAAAATAATCTTCTCAAGCATGGTACAACCCCCAGAGGCCACCACGGGAAAAGGAAGTGGATCTGAGCTCAATTAATTCTTCAGCTGCACCCTGCCCCTAGCACTAACTAAATTCTCTGTTGCCACCGTGGGGCCCAGCAGCACACAGCACACACCCTCCTCCGAGTTCAGTGTTTCTCTGGAGCCTCGATCCCGCCTGTCCCTAATATAACCCTCTCTGTTGGGCCAGCCAGAAAACTCCTTCTTCTACCACATTGTCCTCAAACACCCCTCCTGATGCCTAGAGGAAAGTGAAATGTGATTTTCCAGCAAGACTCTTCCTCCTTGGCTGCCTCCTCCCCAGGAGTGGACTCCTCCTCCCACTGGCCACGTCTCCTGAGGGGAACCGCCAGCCAGGCTGCAAGCCCCTAGCTCCTCCATGCAGCTGACAGACGTCCCTCTGACCTGCCCAACTTCTCCTCTTCAGGCGTCTGGGCTGTCTCTTATGGGCCCTCACGGCCAGCTTACTGCCCCAGCAGGACACTCTGTGCCACCCTCCTCCATTCCCAGGCTACACCTGGCCCACAAAGCTCCCGCCACCCTCAGCCACCACCCTCAGGGATGTGCTCCACCCCACCCACCTGCACCTCTCAGCAGAAATGGACCTGCCAAGCCCCACTTTGTCCTGCACCCCACTCTCCTGCCATTCCTCTTCCTAGTGGGTCCTGCCTCCAGCTCCTTTTCTGGGGGTTCCTCAAGGCCACCTCGAAATACACAGTGCCTGGGCTCAGTCCTAGACGCCCGTCTCTCCTCTCCCATGGCCATGCCTCCCACTGTCAGCTCCAGCCCTGACTCCCTCTAAGCTCTCAACCTCGACTACTGCATGGAAGTCCACGACTCTGCGACTTCACAGACCACCAGCTAAGGCTCCTTGAGGGCAGGAACCACGCCTGTCCCACACTTCCCTGCCCCCTCATCATTCACAGGCAGTGCCTGGCATGCAGGTGGCATTCAGTAAACGTGTGACAGGTGAATACTCAAATGCCCGTTGATGCCCTGGAGGTCACTGACCCAACGCACTGCCATCATCTCCAGGCCCCTCCGCTCGGGCCACCATTTGGGATCCACATCGTCACCTTCTGACGATCTCTCCAGTCACAGCCTTGTAAACCCCACCCCTGCACTCATCCTGAGCCTGACCTGGGCCCATGCCCTGGATGCTCCTGATGGCAGCTTGATGGTCCTCCTCTCTGCCAGGCTAGCACCGTGGTTGGGCCTGACCTTGCCCTCACTGCAAAGAATTCACCTTGAGATCAGGATTTCTCAACCTCAGCACCACTGACATTCAGGGCCAGCACATTCTCTGTTGTGGGCACCCATCGTGTGTGCTGTAGGTCAGCAGCATCCCTGGCCTCTGCCCACCAGATACCAGGAGCACTCCTCCTCTCCCCTAGTGTGATGACCAGCAATGTCTCCTGACATTGCAAGATCACCCCTAGCTGAGAAACACATGCTAGATCTTTCTGCCTGCTCTTTCTAGCCCTTCCCCCTGGCTGCAGACAGGTGCTGGCCGAAGCCTCAGAATTTGACTGATGAGTGCCAAACACTGGGGGCCGTCTCATATTACCGAGAGCACCCAATCCAAACCCCTGCCATCGCTCCAACTCTCAGCCTGGTTCATTCTCCCATAGCCTTGGGCCACCCAGAGAGGAGGGTGGCAGATGTCAGCAAAAGTGGTAAAAGAAGGGTTGGTATGGAAGGATAAGAGAACCGAGAAAAGAAGGGGAGACACAAGCTGCAGCAAGCAAGAGGGTACTGGTACAAAGTGCATGGCGTCGCGTGGCAGAGGCCGAGGCAGAGGGAGTGGTGAGACCGGCCCAGACTCCCAGAGGGCCAGGCCCAGAGCCCAGTGTCCCGGTGGCCAGTCTGTGGGCCTGGTCCCTCTGACCCCACCACCCCAGCGAACAGCCCACACTCTCCCAGGCACCTGGCTGGGCAGCATTATTCATTATCCTAATAAGTCTTTCAGCCAGGAGATGGTTGTAAGTGGTCTTCTCGGCTGCATTTGGCACTGGGAGCTGGATTCGCTCTAATTTTTCCGGATCCATGCCTGGAACAAAGAAAGGGTCAAGATGTCAGCATAGCTGTCTCATCGAGAGATGTCATTATGCTGAAAAGCCCCTTGGAGCAGGGTTTCCTCACCTTTAGCCCCAAGTTGTTTGTGATTCCTGCCACAACCGGGTGCTGCCTGTACTATAACTTACCTCACTGTTTTCTGTAAAGTGAATTTAAGGACATCTTTTATCACTACTTGTAAACAGGAAATCAGTATCGCTGTGATAATTGACAGTCATTATACAAAGAAAATGAAAATCCAACAATGTTTTTATGTTCTAGCCAAAGACTGCTGAGTGCCTGTGTACTCACTGTGGCCTAAGGCCTGGTCTGTCTTGGGTAAAGAAGGGACACTGGCAGGCACTTAAAAGGCGTTGAGAATAGACTGACCCCAAACTGACATTCTCCTGGACACAATCAGAAGGAATGGAAAGGGAATGGAAGAGGGAGTAATGTTCACGGGGTGGTTACTTCCCCGCCACTGCGTGCCGGGTCTGTGTGCCACCTGAGGCCACCCCTGTATCAGGCACATGCCACACTCGGGGAAACACAGACCTAAGAAACAGAGACCAGACATAAAGAAAACTGCAGCCAGACTCAACAATCACACCCTCAAGCTGGCAACACCAAGCTCAAAGAGGTAGGCCGGTCATTCACCAAACACACAGGGAGACAGACTCCGCCTCTGCCTCTGAGGGTGTGGCCTTAGCAGAAGTAGATGAAGCTTGACCTTCATTACAGGAGAAAGTGGGGGAAAGATGCAAACACGGTGAAACCAAGAAAGCAGATCATCACTAGGTGGCAAAGAAATCATGTTTTTCTCCAAAGAAAACTCAACTAGCAACATTTTAAAGACAAAAGACAAGATGGGAGAGAGGTGGGTAGGAGAGGAAACAGGGAATGGGCACTGTAGACACTGCTGGGAGCTGGGGAGACAGGAGACCTGGTGGGGCTACTAGAGTGGCCCAGGCCTCATGTTTTGGATTGAATTGTGTCCCCCAAAAATATGTGCTGTAAATCCTAACCTATGGGTCAGAATCAGCAATGGGTTTTTGGTCTTATGCCTGTGGTTATAATCCCATTTCGGAATGAGTTTGTCTTTGTAATGTTAATGAGGAAGGATTAGCATAGGGTGTATCTTCAGTCAACCTCTTTTGAAATATAAAAGAGATTTAAAAAGTGAGCAGAGGAGAGATGGGGTCAGACAGATGCCAAAACACATCGAGATCTGCAAGGAACCAGGAAATAGAAGCTGAAGAGACAAGGACCCTCCCCCAGAGCCTACAGAGAAAGAAAGCCTTCCCCTAGAGCCAGCACTCTGAATTCGGACTCCTAGCCTCCTAAACTGTGAGAAAATAAATTTCTGTTTGTTAAAGCCATTCACTTGTGGTATTTCTGTTACAGCAGCACTAGATGACTAAGACACCTCATGTACAATGAGTTCCAAATGCCTTATCCTTGCTTCTAATATGCCTCTTGAAAAATACACTTGTAGAAACAAACATTTCACTTGATCCAAGCTTTGAGAACTGAAGGGATTGTTTGTGCTTGAAGCACATCTTTTCCTGTTATTCTCAAACAGAGGGGGAAGGTGGCACTTCTGGGAACTCCTGAAATACAGCCCTTTGAGTACCAGATGACGCTTCATTTAGAACCTTGACAAAACAGCAGAGGATAGCATTGAAGAGCTGATTGTCTGGATTCTAAGTAACTCCCACATACACGTTGATGTAATAAACCATAACAATATATCTTGCTTTACTGAATTCCTTCCAGCTGCAACTAGGAGGCAAAGTCATGCCAAGTAGATGACACCAGTAAGGGACGACCTGGGGGCCGCGTTGGGCAGTGCTGTCTCTCTCACAAACCACAAACGCAGCTTCCTCAAAAAATTTGATTGCAATGAAAATTTAATTTGTGGATTTGCTATCCCATTTTGATGCTAAATGTCTAACTCTGAAGTGTTCTGGTTTATTAAATGGTAAGTAGAACCTCAGCTGGATTTTTTGGGCATCTACTTTTCCAGAGATGGCAATGTCTTCCTAACATCTCTCTCTTCTTCTTCTTCCTGGCCCTTTGTGAACTCTCAGTCAGTGGTTCTGGGAAGAGAAAGGCTCTTCTGCCTCCCCTGAGCATCACCCAACTCCATGATCTGACCACCAATCACTCTACTTCTGAGAGGACGGCAGACAGAGCCCAGTGTTTCTTCCTCTGGAATGCGGCAGTGGCCCGCAAAACCCAGGTACAGGCCCAAACTCCACAAGTTCTTTAGTTTTCATGGAAAGGTCCATTTTGTCTCTTCCGTATTACTGCCCTCCCTTCTTAGGATTTGACAAAAATGTGGAATCTGTGACAAAGTCTTCTCGAGATGGGTAGAGAAAACACTACGAGGTGACCCTGAGCTTCCTCAACCGGTGCTCTGCTTTCTGTGAAGGAGGGGCCCACAAGACTGAGACACTTGAAGAGCAAGGCAGGACCAGATTCGCAAGTCCAGCCCCATCCTATAGGGAGGAAATGGAGACCCAGAGACGGTTGGTCCTTTCCCCAAGGGCACAGAGCAGTAAAAGGCACAGCTAGGACCAGGATGATTGCAAAGGTGGGTGGGATGCAGACAGGGAGGGTGGCAGGAGGAGAGGGGAGCACCATCCACATGGCGAGGGAGTTGACAAAGTCAAGCAGTGTGCCAAGCGCCTGCCCTCTCATGCTGACCATAGTCACTGCCTCCAAGGCCTCTCCTGTGCCCTCCATCAGGCTCATTCCCTTCCAGGTACCTTCCAGGCTGTAGCTGGGATGAAAGGGCAGAGAGCCAGGGTGTGGGGTGCAGGAGGAATGAGAGGCCTACGGGTGGAGTAGGGGAGAATTTTGTTTTATGACTTAACCTCTCTGAACCTCAGTCTCCCTACCTGTCAAATGGGAAGGATTATGGTAACTCCTCGCCCCAGGGTTCTTGCCAGGATCAAGTGGGAAGAAGCATGCAGTCATGGTTCAATAACTCTCAGATGTCATTACTATGCCCGACGGCAATTTGGAAGCCCTGGTGGCACAGTGGTTAACAGCTCAGCTGCTAACCAAAAGGTCGGCAGTTCAAATCTATCAGCTGCTCCTTGGAAACCCTACGGGGCAGTTATACTCTGTCCTGTAGGGTCACTGTGAGTCGGAATCGACTCTATGGCAAAGGGTTTTGACGGCAGTTTTTACTTTGAGCGTGGTTTATGTATTTTGTATCATGTGTGTTACAAGAGGAAAGAAAGAACGAAAGAACAAAAAGAAAAAAACTACCTAATAAAAGCCAAAATCAAGACACGGGAGGGCCTAAAGGGGCCGGCAAGGAGCCTGTCGGAACAATGGTTAAGCGCTTGGCGGCTAGTCAAAGGGTTAGTGGTTTGAACCCACCGGTGGCTCCACAGGAGAAAACCTGGAGATCTACTTCCATAAAGATTTCAGCCTAGGAAATCCTGTGGGGCAGTTCTACTCTGTCACATGTGGTTGCTATGAGTCAGAATCGACTGGAGAGCACCTAACAACAACGGAGCTGGTAGGGCTAGGGCTCGGGCCCATTCTCAGGGATGAGCTGCTCAGGGTGGATTCTGAAGGACTGGCAGAGATCTGTCTTGAGCTAGACAGGGAGGGCCAAGGGCAGACCGTAAGGTATCTGGTAGAGCTGGGGAGGGCCAGGGAAGGGACTAGGGAGGAAGTGATGAGGCAGAAAGGTCAGGGGAGGGGGCAGGCAAGGCTTGGACACCAGGACCCGTGGCAGGCGGCAGGGACCCACCGAGAGGCAGCTGTGGAGTTGATGTGCTCTGGTCTGACTTGGGTGGCCTCCATTCCCTCAGGCCCACTCAAGATGATCCCAGTCTTCTGGCACTTCCCCCAAAACAGATCTGATGTTGCAATGCATTTATGCAAGGTGGACTTTACTATGGGCCACGGGAATACAGAGAACAGACTGGATTCCACACAACATATGGAAAAAACCCCTCTGGTCTTTCCCCAAGTTCCTCCTGGGCCAGGTGCCTCAGCTCCTCTCCTGTCTCTCTCTCTCTCCCACCATGGCCTCTAAAATCCCCTCTGCTATCCTGAATTGTACTGGCCCTTGGCTTACAAGGCCTGGATAGCAATTCAAAAGCTCCAGACACTCCTGAGTCCCATAGTCTTAAAAAGCAGTTGAGTGATTATGAAGGAATTCTCAAGTAGACCTTATCATTTAGCACAGTATTTGATCAAAAACAAACAACAAGACAACAAATCAAGCCTCTCTGGTAAGAACAGAGTGCCCCTGGGGAGAAAGAGGGGAGAATCTGCTGAGAATATAAGATTTCCTTCATATGCTGTTATTGTTGTGTGCCGCAGAGTAGATTCTGACTCACCGCGACCCTGCAGGAAGGGAGAACTGCTCCATAGGGTTTCCAAGGCTATAATCTTCATGGGAACAGACTACCAGGTTTTTTCCTCCCACAGAGCCACTGGTAGGTTAGCAGCTGAGGGCTTAACCACTGCACCACCAGGGCGCCTCTCCTTCACATAGTGAGCACAGAATAAATGGTAACTATGAGTCAGGCAGGTGACACTTAACTCTTACATTCTGTGAAGTAGGTATTATTGTTTTCCATTTTATAGATGAAGAAATTGAGGCACAAAGAAGTTATGAACCCTGCCTGAGGTAACACAGAGTGGAGAAGCCCGTAGTGGAACGCAGCCCCCGACTCCCGAGACCATCAGTCTTGAGCTCTCTAGGCCAAATCACATCACTCTTGCTTGCTAGTTCTTCTCTTTCCCTCCACCTGCTCAAACCCCACGAACGACATTAGCTGGCAGTTCTCTGGCACGAAGACAGAGCACCATAATTCTCTGTTTAATTCATTAATTTTTTTACAATTTTTTCCCATACAAAAATTTATACATACCTTGTTATGTGACTCTAACTGCTCTCCCCATACTGTGACAGCACACTCCTCCTTTCCACCCCTGATTCCCCATGTCCATTCAACCAGCTCC